TGAGGCCCTTCATTTTTTTATGTAAGACAATATTAACTTTTTACTGCGCCTGAAGTTGGCTTTTACTTCTTTCATGAGGAAAAAATTACCTTTCTGGTAATATTCTTGGAAATAGGAGTTATAAAATATAAGCCAGTACATTGTGTATACATATGGAATTCTATAGATGGATCCCTTTCAATTGAAATCTTTATATTGTATTAAAAATTGAGTTATAAAATAGCTTTTTTGTGTTATAATAACATAGTTTAAGTGTTTTTTATGTACTTTTTTCAATGTATTTTTTATTTTACTTTGAATAGAAAATATGTATTAATAAACTAATAATGTTTTTATTATTAATTTAATGTGAATAAAATTTTTCACCTTGTCAGATATTGTACATACATATAAATAAAATTTTATTTATGAAAGAAGAAATAGACGATATTGTTTGATATTTTGATTAAAAAAATAACTTGTTCAGTAAAATCTTATCAACAATTATCAAATACAATTCAATTTATTTTATTGTCTATATTCATAAATATATTTTCATTAAAATAAAAAATGATAAATACAATAAACTCATTGATACATTTAATTGAGTACTGACATTACAATAATCCGAACTACAACAATATATTTGAGCATCAGCAGCCGATGTTTGAGTTGGACAAAAAAATACTGTACCTTTTGATACTAAACGACGACCATCAGCCATATTCATAACTGTTTTCTATAGAAAGAAATGATTACTATTAATTATTTTATATTAAATGGATAATAAAAACGTACAGTGCATTGAGAAAGAAAATTTGTATTATTTGCTAAAGTTACATATGGATAAGTTTCTGTAAATGGATCTGGACAATCTGTACATTGATAACATATGATTGAACTAACTATTTGAATATCTATGAAAAAAAAATAAATTAAAAACTAATCAATAAAATAAAAAAAATATAATTTACGATGTAAGATAAGTATTCCAGTAAGTAATCGATACATTTTTTGCTATGAATGATGAACTCAAGGTGAATAAATGTCTCTCTTTGTACAAAAGAAATAGATTTAAAAATTCATTCATTTTTCTTCTTTTTTTTTCATTCCTCCGCAATAATGAACAAATATATATAATGTAGACTTTTGTTATACGTATTACATTCAATTGTTATTATGTTGACCAAAGAAGAACGATTACTTCTATTCATCATCATCTTTTTAAATTGTAAGATCAATTGAACACATTTGTTAATATTTAGTATTATATTTAAATAGTTATAAATAATGAATGTCGAATAATTCAATGTTATTCTTGTTCAGATTGTGCTACTTCAACATTATTAAATATAAGTAAAATTCAGATATTGAATGATATAGATCAATGCGTGGTAGAAATAAAAATTAGATTTTATTTCAATATTTTTATTTTATATTTAGAAAATAACTATATTAACAAGAACTTTTAGTGGACAACGAAAACAAATTGATCGAGGTGTTTCACAACATTATAAAGATTATTTAAATACACAAGTTTCAGTTAGTTGCTGTCTTTTTGATTTATGTAATGCATAAAAAAAAGATACAATTTAGATTTTCTTTTATTTTCTTTTTCGAATAGTTTTTTTTCAAATAAATAAACTTAATTATATATTGCCAAAGTTGATTTCGAACATTGTATAAAATATATCTATAGTTTTATGAATTGTGGATTTTTGTTATTGAAAAGGAAAAATTCGAATATTTACCAATGATTTCATTCTTTGATTGTATCTTTTTAAAACCTGTTATGATGACCTTCATCACATTTGACAATACTTAAATTATATTTGCTATGTAAAATTATCAATTACGAAAGTTAATAGACATGACAATATCAAACATGAAAATAAAATACTAATTTGTATATAAATATATTATACATTATTTAGACGATACTATTTGATTGAATAGATGTAAATAGCCTTCAAATATCAATAGAACTTTATCATCAAGCAAATAATTTGATTCATCAATACACATTTAACGATTCATTTTATAGATTTTGCTTTTTCAATTTACATCTGCATCAAATATGATCAAATTAAAATGTATTCTTGGATTTTATCTTCTCATATTCATAAACAGTAAGTTTTATGTCTGTAATTATTATAAAATTTAAAATATAAAGATTAATCATAGAATTTCAAGTCAGTCAAAGTCTTCTTCAATGTTATCTTTGTGCGGATTGTGGTGATCCATTTGACAAAGAATATCCGTATACAAGTGTAGTAACAAATCAAAACTATGGAGCAGCATGTATTGTATGTAATTATATATAAATCAATTGATTGTACTTCTTTTCTTTTCCTTTTTTTAAAGAAAACAGTTTTAACTGTACCTAATGGTAAAGTGGTTAGTCGAGGTACAACATTTAGTTGTACACAAGCATCAACAAGTGATATTAAAGTATATTGCTGTCAAACGGATCTTTGTAATGGATCGAACTCATTGAAATATTCAACATATCTTTTACTATCTGTATCAATTATTTATTCTGTTTTATTTTAAGATACAATTGAAAAAAAAGACTGACATTATATATTCAGTAAACTGACAATTTAATCTCTATCAGACAATGAACTTAACTCTAGTTATATCATCTTTCCCCGATGCAATTCATATTCTTTGTATTCCAAAAAGGAAACGAAGTTGTCTAAAAATACATGCTACGTCTAATTCGAACAGAAGATAACAAACCATACCATCTTGAGGGTGTGGGTGTGGATATAAGATGACTATCATATCCACACCATAAACAGAAGTACAAATATATTTATTGGTATATGACAAGATTTTTACAAAGTTACATAAGATGCTAGCTCAATTAAATATTCGGCGAAGTCGTTTCATCCGATCATCATTTTTTCGATACACTGCTTTTTTTAGTTTCGATTCATAACCAAGCCGAACTTTTTTTAATATCTATTTCGAACTTTGGATTGCTCTCGCCACATTTTGTCAGCTAGTTTTAGAACATTCCGATGACTGATGAGAATCCAATTGAAAAAGAAATTATTCCATCCTTCGACTATATTGTTAGTTTGAGGTAAATCAAACACTACACGATCATACATGTTCCACAACTTACGACTATGTTTTGTTTTTCTACGACCAACACCTAAATAAAACTCATCAAGATCTTGTCATTTCTTTCAATCATGAAACTAACCTCTCTTTCTTCGTTCGTCAATCCATGTCTTTTCAAAGTACCATAGAACATCATTAATGTCATCATGGAATTCTTTTTCAAGTAATTCAGATGCGTTTACAATATCGTCAATTGGCACAAGTGCAATTGCCATTAGTGTCTTAACACTTAAATGAAAACATTTATCTTCATTATGTTTTTTCTTCAAACCACAAGTATGAACTTCATACCATATGCATTGGCTAAAGTGGAATAGACAACCTAAACTAAAAAGAGTCATGCATGAGTTGAGAGATTTAAAATCTTATATTTTTACCTTGATATCAAGGTAAAAACATAAGATTTTATATCTCTCAACTCATACATGGTAATTCCTATTTCAGGATGTTTATTTCACTTTAGTCAATGTATATGGCATGACGTTGAAACTTGTGGTTTGAGGAAAACATTTGATGAAGATAAGTGTTTTCATTTAAGTGTTAAAACACTAACAGCATTTGCATTGCTACCAATTGACGATGTTATGAACGCATTTGAATTACTTGGAAACGAACCTGACAATGATACTAATGATCTCCTGTGGTGCCTTGAAAAGACATGGATAGGCGAACGAAGAAAGAGAGGTTAGTTTCATGATTGAAAAAAATGACAAGACCTTGATGAGTTTTATTTAGGTATTGGCTATAAAAAGCAGAAATTTAATAATGGACTATGGAACATGTATGACCGCGTAGTATCTGATTTACCTCGAACGAACAATACAGTCGAAGGATGAAACAATGTCTTTGTCAATTGAGTTCTCATCGGTCAACCGACTGTTCTAAAAGTATCTGACAAAATGCGGTGAGAGCAATCGAAGTTCGAAATAGATATAAAGAAAGGTTCGGCTAGGTTATGAATTGAAATCAAAAAAAGCAGTGTATCAAAAAAATGATGATCGAATGAAACGATTTGGCCAAATATTTAATTGGTCTAGAATCTAATGTAACTTTGTAAAAATCTTGTCATATTTGTTTATTGTATCATTGTTTGTTCATTAGCATGCTCTGTGTCATTACTTACTCAAGAGAATAAATGAAAACAAAATTCTTGATAATGTAAATTTAATTATGTAATCGTGTAACACAACAATTAAATGCATGTGCGACGAATGTTCTAGTGCCTAGATGTTGGACTATTATGCACATGTTGCAGGGATATAGAAATTACAAATATGCACCAAAACCCATGCAAATTAGTTAACTAATATGTATAATTTCATGTCTTTTTACTGAAGTAAATATTGATAGAATTAGTCCTAAGTTTTTTTAATTATGAATATAGTTTGTTAAATAGATTTATTATGGATATGGGTGAGTGTGTGAGTATGGGTATATTATATTTATCTCACACCCACCTACACTAGTTTGAGCTAAGATTCTCAGGTTATTCCTACAACACTGATACCTAACTACTGTAAAAATATCGGCCAAATCGGTGAGATTTATTGAGCAATGTCGGTCGTAGCTTGCGTGTATTGCCTCCTGGTAAGTATAAGATCAACTTCTACGCAGTATAATCTTTTTATGAATATAATGGAATACAGAAAAGAGTAGATTCTTCTTCATATATATTTGATAAAAATACCAACGAAATGAGAATAAATATATTTTTGAATCAAAAATTATCCTTTCACTTAGAAAATTAAGCAACAAAAATAAAATTTTTTTTCAGATTATGCCAATTGATTATTTTTGATTTCCATTTAACTGTAACATAGTCAACTATATCACTGAAATCTTATAATACACTTCTCTTCGAGATGAGTATGATTTGAATTGGACATAATATAATCCTTGCAAAAGATATCGCTTGTAACTCAATAATTTTTTAAATGAATAAGCTATAATAAAATATTCTAGTATAAGTGTTCTGTTTCTATCAAATATACTCAAGATTTTCTTTCATAATTCATGATTTTAAATGCTTTTTGTCAAGTTTTATATTTAATTTTTTCTTCTGTATTTTGGTATAAAAGATTTTTAACATACATCTGTTATCATTTTGTTCATAAGTGATTCTAAAGAGAAAGAATAGAAAGGCAACATATTTTTTTGCATCAAAGCGATCGTGCATTGGTAAAAAGATAAATCTAATAACTAAGTCATTGAATTTTCCTGAAACAGAGGTTTTCAAAAACCATTATCAATTAATAAATCGACTTGAATCTTGGTATGCTACTGCACAAATTATCTAAATAATCATCATACTTCGGAAGTATATTTTTGATAGATTTGCAGTCAATTAATTGAGAATTTGACTAAGAAAAAATCTGTTTTTTTTCAGTACAAAATAAGATAAAGTAATAATCTCTTGAAGAATAAAAAGATCTAATGAAATTTGCCATTTCAAAACGATTACATACCGACGTCATAACTCAAAACGTTTTTTTTCTTTTATTTTGCCATTGTTAGACACTGAGGGATATGTAACAAAGTTAGCAAAAGCCAGATGTCATTTTATATCAAAATACATTAAAGAAAAATATAGATAAATTCTTTTTAAAGAAGAGAAGATATTTATATGCAGAGAAAATAAAATTATTTGAACGTGTTCAAAACACATGAATAAACTTATACGCATTTCTTTAACAGATGTGAATAGACTTGTATCGAAGCTGAATACGATGAGGGCTTAGGAATTGCTGAGAATGATGATTCCTCCTTGTTCCTCATGATATTACAAGGCATCAAATCGATTATATTATCTATTTTAGTTTGATTTTCATGCTGAATAACACTAAACACTGAAAAAAATATAGATAAAAAAATTATAAAAAAATTATAGAACTGACTTACGCAGTTCCTTTTCTTTTGTATGTGACTTTTATGCTTATCATATCAACCAAATATTTGCGTAGTTTTCTTTTTGCTTTAACTAAAAAATCTTCATTTCATAAATAGTTTTATATAGTTTTCTAACAGTTATTGTGCAAGATTAAAAACTTTGAGATATTATTTTTATTTATTTTCGAACTCCCATAGATCGTCATCTATACAAGTATTCTACGAATATCAGTCTTGAATAAAAATATCGACTATGACAATAAATAGAGCAGAAGCTTGTCTTGTAATGTATTAAAAGAATTAAAACAAAATAATGATTGTTTTTTTACTTGTTTTAGTCTCAACCTGGAAACGACGGCATTGCTCAAGCACCAAGTACTCTATTAGGAACCATGTATGTATATTGTAAATTGTAGTGAATACAAAAATGAATCTCTTTTATTCTAGATGTGAGCGATTTGAAAAGAGAAAATCGATGTGGATCATAATTTCTATTGTTGCTATTATGTTGATCATAATTATTCCAACATCTATCGTATTAACAAAAAAAACAAAAATCAACAAATCGACAACAACAAAATCATCAATAACAGAAATCATTACAATACCAAAAGGTATAGTTTTTCAAAAAGAATCTAGATTTCACTTTTTTCTCCGGATATTCTATTGGAATAACGAAGCATAAAGAAATAATATTTAGTTTTCTCTTCGATAAAAACAAAGCATACTCCATAACGAAGGTTTAAAAGACTTGAGTCTCGTTGAATAGTAGACTATTTACATTTTAACAGAATATTTGCTTAACTAGTTTTCTCAAAACTAAACTATTTATTCTTTTAAAGCACATCTCCTATACATCATGTAGATGAATTTAGTAATTCTACAACATATTAAACTAAACCGTTTATATGTGACAGATTGAGCTCTCACCCACTTGCTCCTTCATGATAAAATTATAAAAAAAAAGAAATGAATATGTTTTTAATTAATAAGAATAATTATTAATTATAACTGTTTGAGTGAATGAAACAATATAAAATATTATTATTGACATTTTATATACACTTTGATAAATGAGATCAATATAGTCTTCAGAGAAAAGACTCATTTGCTTAACTATTTTATAATATATTTTTGAATGACAATTAGCAGTGGATATTTCATGAATTTTATTATATGTAAAGGTCATTATTTTCTCGAAAACTTTGATAGAATGAACTATAACATTTGAGTTAATGTATAAGATTCGAAAAGATTTTAGCAGTAATCTCATATTGTGTCAACTGATTTGTTACAGTTATTGTAATAGAAACATAGTAATAAATAAATATTATAGAAGAAGAGACGAGAAAATTCATACGAATATATTTAGAGCCAGATATCTTATTAATAGATAGAGAAATAATGAGTGATGGAGAAAATCCCATTAAATGTTCTTGTTTCATGTAGAACCGACAACGTCATCAGCATCAACGACCACAACAACAACAAGAACAACAAATACAACAGCAAATTCATGTAAGTAAAGAGATATTCTAGTTAGCTGTAATATAGTATACTCAAAATATTAACTTCTTAACTATTTTTTTTCAAAAATAATTGAAGTTCTAATATTTACTACAATAGCTTTTAGGAACATCTTTATATTCGTTTTGCATTCTTGTTATATCATATCATTTATGGAAGAATCAACTCGGAAGAATTCTTATCTTAACCCTTTGGCTGCAGGAGTTTTTTAGAAACTTGAAATTTTATTATTTTTCTATACGCGTATGACGTTAGGAAGCAACGAGAAAGAAATGGAAAATGTCTCAACATATGCATACCGAAGTGCATTTGTAGAACGCAAGAAAATATAAATGGAATGACGTCACTGTATACTTATATATATATATATGGGGAATGCGAATTTTGCAGTAGAGACTTTCGCAAGTGACTTCTGGCAATTGTCAAAAGTTCAGTTTCGTTACGGCAAAAATTTAAGAAAAACAGAACTTTTTGCAATTGCCGAAAGTCTTAATCAATGCAAAAATTTCTAACTAGTCATAGTTCGTAAACCGTATCTTCGGCTATTTTAAGATATAACTCGTTTGAAGAAAGCAGTCTGCATTGCAAGCGCTACCTATTCTGTAAGGTGCTCGACCGGGTGCGGATGTTAGTGTCTCTCCTTCATGCACACCCACTTACACGCAGACCCACACCCACACCCACACCCTTCAGTTCTTCTCTAATATTCTTTATATTTTTCTCGTTTTAGCTCTTTCATTCAATCAACCGAAGTTTTCTGCAACACCTATTTGGGATTCTAATGGAATTACTATTGCTAACCAATCGATTGTTGGTCGCGTTCCTATGGCCATTTTTGTGAGCAAAGATAATACAATTTATGTCGCTAATGAAGATAACAAGACAATTGTAATATGGCAAGAAGAGAGTGACAATCCAACAAAGATCATTCACGGTAATTTTACAGAACCATATTCTCTCTTCGTAACATCAAATGGTGATATTTATATTAATGATGGTGAAAAGAATGGTCGAGTGCAGAAATGGAGTGCAGAAACAAGTACCTTTGTCACGGTGATGAATGTCAACTCAACATGTTATGGCTTGTTTATCGATATCAATAATACTCTTTACTGTTCAATGCGTGATCATCATCAAGTAGTGAAAAGATCATTAAATGATGCTGTGATGAATTCAAACGGTATTGCTGCTGGAACAGGTAGTCCAGGATCAGACTCGAATCAACTCGACTATCCTTGGGGAATCTTTGTTGATGTAAATTTGGATTTATATGTGGCTGATTCTACAAATGATCGAATTCAGTTGTTCCAGTCGGAAGAAGCAAATGGTATCACAGTAGCTGGAAGTACATCACGATATCCAACAATTACACTTAATCGTCCCAGTGGAATTATATTAGATGCTGAGAAATATTTATTCATTGTGGATCGAGGCAATAATCGCATTGTTGGTTCAGGTTTGAATGGTTTTCGATGTTTAGTTGGATGTTATGGACAGGGTTCACAATCCAATCAAATGTCTGTTCCATCCAGCTTGAGCTTCGATGGTTTTGGAAACATGTTTGTTGTTGATGATCGGAATATTCGAATTCAAAAATTTTTACTAATGAAAGATTCTTTTGGTAAGTTGAAAAAAAAGTTGAACAGAATGAAGAGATGTGAATAGATAAATAACAGAAGTTAATAAAGACATTTAAATATAACAAACGAAAGACAACAAAAATGCTTGAGAAAGATTAATTAGATCAGTGTGTAAAAGAATGTTTCTAAGGAAACGAAATGTTCAGATTCTTCAGATTAGACAGGGCTATACGTCAGTCGTCTAAGACAAACAATCTTTGCCTTTTTGTTCAGACTAAAGAATAGAGAAAGAAAAATTTGTGTCCTTAATAGAGTGGTAGAAAGGACTTTCATGTTACATTTTATATGTCTCAAAGAATATTTCAACAATAAAACAGTTTTTATCGAAATAAAATCTCTTCATATCTGTGTTGATATCGTTGTATTATAAATTATTCTATGATTTGACTTCATATTTCATATTTCGATATGTTTCATTTAAGAAAAACAGGACAAATAAAATATCACAATTTTAACAACTATTTTT